TATTCTATTCTATTCTATTCTATTCTATTCTATTCTATTCTATTCTATTCTATTCTATTCTATCCTAATCCTATCCTATCCTAAATGTGGGCTGGTTGACAAGCGCCCCCAAATAATGTCACGTGACCTTGGGGAGAAGCGGGGTGGTGGCTGAGGGAATTTCAAATTCAGGTTGCAAGCAGCCTTTTCAAGGTTCATCCTAACTCTGAAAGATCACTCAGTGAATGGTCGTACGTCGAGGACTACTTGTATTTCTCACACCATCCCCCCTCCCCCAGGTGTCAGCTTACCTGGCTGAGACGCATATCCATCAAGGTGTTTCTAGCTTGTCCGATCTTCCTCATGTCCAGCTCCCCTGTGCCAGGGGTCATCAGTCCCGGGGTCATTCCCCCTGGATAAGGGGTGTTTAAGCCCCCTGGGTAAGGGGTATTCAGACCACCGAATTGCTGCAAGAGGAAGAGGAGGGCGTGGGAGAGAGGAAGAGAGAGTGTTACGGAACGTCAAATTCTATCAATAAAAAGAAGGCCGTTGCTGTGTGGAATCAATCAATCAATCAGCACAGAGCTGGAAGGGACCTCAGAGGTCTTCTAGACCAACCCGCTACCAAAGCAGGAGAACCTATACCATCTCAGACAAGCGACTGTCCAGACACATCTTAAAAACCTCCAGCGATGGAGCACCCACAACCTCTGAAGTCAAGTCATTTCCACTGGTTAGTTGTCCTCCCTGTTTGCAAGTTTCTCCTGAATTCCAGGTTGCTTCTCTCCTTGATTAGTTTCCATCCATTGTTTCTTGTCCCGCCTTCGGGTGCTTTCGAGAATAGCTTGACCCCCCTCCTCTCTATAGCAGCCCCTTCAATACTGGAATATTGCTATCGTGCCCCACCGGTCCTTTTCATTAAACTAGACATGCTCAATTCCTGCCCAATACCCAATTCCAAAAACTGTTATTCATGTGTTTTAGCCTCCAGGCCCTTAATCATCTTAATTGCTCTTCTCTGCACTTTTGCCAGAGTCTTTTCTTGTATTGTGGTGACCAGAACTGGATGCAAGATTCCCAGCGTGGTCTGCCTAAGGCTTTATAAAGCGGTATTAATACTTCACACGGTTTTGATTCTTTTGACTCTGTTTATGCAACCAAGAAAAAGGTTTAAATATTGCAAAGACCCCCGTGCAGGAGCGCAGGGAGGTTACAAACAGACATTTATTTGTGCCAGGGGAAAAGCATAACCAAAGTGGCCCCGGTTTTTTTCGCTGCAGTGAAGATCTGCAGGAATGGGGTTGACCTCTCTTAACCCTGTGTCGAAAATTCAGCCAATCTCTCTACTATTTCTGGTTCCCTCCAGGTCTGGAGATTCAAAGTAAGAGTGGACAGTTTGGAGATGTTTAAATGGTCTGGCTAGAATTAAAGGCCGCATGTTAAAATGGGAATCTCTCCCCACAAGGATATTTACTGCAAATGTAGCACTATTTAAACAACTATCCATCTTTTACAATGCCCCCTGGGACCGACATGCAGACATAATGACTTGCTGGTCAGAATTATCCCTGCCATCAATGTGGGCCCCGCATTGGGCTAGAACTACACTGCTCAAAGAAATAAAGGGAACACTTAAACAACACAATGTAACTCCAAGTCAATCACACTTCTGTGAAATCAAACTGTCCACTTAGGTAGCAACACTGACTGACAATCCATTTCACATGCTGTTGTGCAAATGGAAGAGACAACAGGTGGAAAGCATAGGCAGTTAGCAAGACATCCCCAAAAAAGGAGTGGTTCTGCAGGTGGTGACCACAGACCACTTCTCAGTTCCTATGCTTTCTGGCTGATGGTTTGGTCACTTTTGAAGGCTGGCGGTGCTTTCACTCTAGTGGTAGCATGAGACGGAGTCTACAACCCACACAAGTGGCTCAGGTAGTGCAGCTCATCCAGGATGGCACATCAATGCGAGCTGTGGCAAGAAGGTTTGCTGTGTCTGTCAGCGTAGTGTCCAGAGCATGGAGGCGCTACCAGGAGACAGGCCAGTACATCAGGAGACGTGGAGGAGGCCGTAGGAGAGCAACAATCCAGCATCAGGACCGCTACCTCCGCCTTTGTGCAAGGAGGAACAGGAGGAGCACTGCCAGAGCCCTGTAAAATGACCTCCAGCAGGCCACAAATATGCATGTGGCTGCTCAAACGGTCAGAAACAAACTCCATGAGGGTGGTATGAGGGCCTGACGTCCACAGGTGGGGGTTGTGCTTACAGCCCAACATTGTGCAGGACTTTTGGCATTTGCCAGAGAACACCAAGATTGGCAAATTCGCCACTGGCGCCCTGTGCTCTTCACAGATGAAAGCAGGTTCACACTGAGCACTTGTGACAGACGTGACAGGGTCTGGAGACGCCGTGGAGAACGTTCTGCTGCCTGCAACTTCCTCCAGCATGACCGGTTTGGCAGTGGGTCAGTAATGGTGTGGGGTGGTATTTCTTTAGGGGGCCGCACAGCCCTCCATGTGCTCGCCAGAGGTAGCCTGACTGCCATTAGGTACCGAGATGAGATCCTCAGACCCCTTGTGAGACCATATGCTGGTGTGGTTGGCCCTGGGTTCCTCCTAATGTACGACAATGCTAGACCTCATGTGGCTGGAGTATGTCAGCAGTTCCTGCAAGACGAAGGCATTGATGCTATGGACTGGCCCACCCATTCCCCAGACCTGAATCCAATTGAGCACATCTGGGACATCATGTGTCACTCCATCCACCAATGCCACATTGCACCACAGACTGTCCAGGAGTTGGGTAATGCTTTAGTCCAGGTATGGGAGGAGATCCCTCAGGAGACCATCTGCCACCTCATCAGGAGCATGCCCAGGTGTTGTAGGGAGGTCATACAGGCACGTGGAGGCCACACACACTACTAAGCCTCATTTTGACTTGTTTTAAGGACATTACATCAAAGTTGGATCAGCCTGTAGTGGTTTTTTCCACTTTAATTTTGAGTGTAACTCCAAATCCAGACCTCCATGGGTTGCTAAAGTTGATTTCCATTGATAATTTTTGTGTGAGTTTCTTGTCAGCACATTCAACTATGTAATGAACAAAGTATTTAATAAGAATATTTCATTCATTCAGATCTAAGATGTCTTATTTTTGTGTTTCCTTTATTTTTTTTGAGCAGCGTATATAAATCTATGTTTTGATTAAAGTTTTAATCTTTTTAAAATTACAGGGGCACAGTGGCCTAGGGGTGAAGATGCTCGCCTCACACTCGGGAGGCTGAGAGTTCAATCCCAGGCAGCGACAGACGTTTCTCCATCAGGGTGCAAAGAGAAAATATCTGCTGCAAACCCCGCGTAGGCATCAGGAAAGGAAGCCGGCCAGTAAATGCCTCAGCTCCATTCAGTCGCCCCAACTCTACAATGATAAAGGGGATTACAGGGTCTTAACATTTTAACAAATCTTTTAAAATTTAAATTAATAATTTTCTGCTTGAAAATTTCCTGAACTTCTGACCCGAGACCAGCTTCCCTCTTGTTTTGTCCATAGAACAGGTATTGATTGGAAATCCCTTCCCAAGCCATTCTGTTGTGGCCCAACAAAAGCCGAAGGAGCTGACATTAGATTCGGACAGTGAGGAGTTTGGCGGGGGGAACATGGGCCGGTCCTGGAGTCAAGGAAAGGCTCTGACAAGTGCTCTGTGTTGGGAGGCAGAGATGGGGCCAGGGCTGCCTGGCATGTATCAGCTGCCTTTGGAGTCGGAGATCAGTGAGGCAGAAGAACAGCTGGAGCCTGTTCCCAGCGAGCGCCATGTGCAGAGTTGCCAGATAAAGGGAACAGCTGAGGAACAAGGGCCGATTTGGGAGTAAAGTCACAGGTGAGTGGTATATGGCCCCTCCCCTAGAGTATAAAAGAGGAGTGAAAGGGCAGTGCAGCTTTGTAAGGAGACAATTAGTTCACTCTGGCATGTTTGCCAAGTATTGCGATGTCTGAAAGGTTATCGGTCTGGCAACTCTCCAAGCCTGATAAAGGTCTCTAATTGGGAACTATCATGAAAGGCTGTTAGGCAGGAATTTGTTGGAGAGGAAATTCATTGCAAATCAAACAAAAGGGGTTTATCGGGATGAGGACTCCGCTTTGTGCTGTTGGGGGAAGCCTAGGTCAGAACACATTCTTTCAGAAAACCCACTGAAACTGGGAAATCTCAGACGGAGATTCTCACCGTCTGCCGAGGATCCACCGATGTGTGATTCTCTCCCGATTGCAAGTGCTTCGCAAAGAAACTGTCCGGAACAGGCGTCAGTTTTTCGTAACGTGGATTCCTCTGGCGCTTGTTCCTGGCATCGCCAACTTCAGGGATACTTAGCCATTCTTCTTCGGTAACTTCAGCCAGTTTTCTCTATCCAAACAACAATCACAATCTGTAAATGAAATCGCTACGTGGCATTTGAACTGTCCCCTCCTTCCCTTTCCCCACCTTTACTTTTAGCTTGCAAATTATGGCCTTTTCCCCCTCCCCGACAAACAAATTTGGACTTTCTGGATCTTTATACAGGTATTCCTTGACTGGCAACCATTTGTTCTCTCTCTTTTTTTTTAATATAAAAAAACTTTATTAAACAAATTCTACAATTGAAAAACATATTTCCATTCATTGCAGTGTATTTGTAGTCGTGTTCACTCATTTTGACATATTCTTAAGTATATAGAATATTACTAAATATTATTACAATTATTTTACATTTGATTTATGTTATTTTTATGTATTTATGTAGTTATTTATACATAGACAGATGTCTATTCATACCAAATTATTTCATCACACCATAACCTTTCATTTCATCTCTCTAGTTTGTGTCTACCTTACAGCCAATTATACCACAAATTCCAATTTTCATAGTACTCTATCTCTTCTCTCTCTTTCATTTCCATTGAAAGCCTATCCATTTCTGCACACTCTAAAACCTTTTTTATTATCATAATATCGAAGGGAATGCTGTCACTTTTCCAATTCTGGACAAAGGCTATTCTTGCTGCAGTTATACGTAATATATTGGAGTTTCTTACTTATTTTACCTCTTAATATACCCAATAGGAATGTCTCTGGTCTCAATTCAATTTTCTGTTTTGTAATTTCCTCCAGCCATTTCCCAATTTTAAACCAATACTTTTTAGCTTGAGGGCATGTCCACCATATATAGAAATAGGTGCCCTGTTTATAATTACATATCCAACAATTTGTTGATCTATTAGGGAACATCTTAGCCAATCTTGCTGGGGGTAAATGGCAACGGTAAAACATTTTGTATAAGTTCTCTTTGTATGCTGCTGATAGAGTTAGTTTATACGTAGTTTATTTCCCATAATTTTTCCCAATCTTCCAAATGACTGGCAACCATTTGTTTAGTGACCGTTCAAAGTTACAATGGCACTGAAAATGCGGATTATGACCGTTTTTCACACAACCGTTGCAGCATTCTCATGCAGTCCAAATCCAGATGCTTGGAAACTGACTCACATTTATGACGGTTGCAGTGTCATGGGGGGGGGGTCACCTTTTCCAGCCTTCTGACAAGCAAAGTCCATGGGGAAGCCAGATCCACTTAACATCTGTGTTTCTAACTTAACTGCAGTGATTCACTTAACGACAGTGGCAAGGAAAATCATAAAATGGGGCAAAGCTCACCTAACTGTCTTACTTAGCACTCAGAAATTTTGGGCTGAATCATGATTTTAAGTCCAAGACTATCTGCATAGATGTGGTTTTAGTTTTACTTCAACCCAACAGCTTATTTATTTATTTATTTAACATATTTCTATACTCACCCATCTTTCAATCAATCCTGTGGGACTTCAGCTCCCAGAATCACCTCACTGATTCAGTTGTACATACCAAAGAAAGAAAGAAAGAAAGAAAGAAAGAAAGAAAGAAAGAAAGAAA